AAATGTTTCTTTATTGGCTATGGAGATGAAGAATTTGGATTTCGGTTCTGGGATGATCAGAATATGAAGATTATCAAAAGCAGGAACGTGATCTTCAATGAGAAAGTTTTGTACAAAGACAGATTAAGTACAGAAACAGACATGACTGATTCAAATACGAGTCCATAAAAATCTGAATTCATAAAATTAGAAGGACTTTCCGATGTTACCACTCAAGAGTCCTTACAAGAAAATTCAAGCACATCCATACCCATTACTACTATACAAGAAAATACAGAGCTAAATGAACCAGCTATTTGATCAACCGTGGACCATCAGTTCCTTTGGAGTTCAGACTGCCCGAGGAAGTATGGAGAGAAAAAGAAGTACAACTTTCTCATTTAAAGGTCTTTGGGTGTTTCCTATGTGCATTTGAACCATTAACTTATGAAGAATCCTTACATGATGAAAACTCGAGCAAGTAAGAACAAGACTTGAGAGTTAACTAAACTGCCTGAAGGAAAGAAGGCCTTGCAAAACAAGTGGGTCTACAGAGTAAAGACCGAGCATGACGGAAGCAAACGGTTCAAAGCAAGACTTGTTGTAAAAGGGTTTCAGCAAAAGAAGGGGATCGACTATTCTGAGATATTTTCTCCAGTTGTGAAGCTTACAACAATCAGAGTTGTTCTGGGGATAGTAGCTGCAGAAAATTTACATCTTGAACAATTAGATGTAAAAACAGCATTTCTTCATGGAGAATTGGAGGAAGACATTTACATGCAATAACCAGAGGGGTTTGTAATACAAGGAAAGGATAATCAAGTTTGCAAGCTAAAAAAAAGCCTATATGATTTGAAGCAAGCTCCAAGACAGTGGTACAAGAAGTTTGACAACTTCACGTGTAGTTTGGGATACACAAAATGACAGGCTGATCAATGTTGCTATGTCAAACATTTTGACAACTCCTATATCATTCTACTATTGTATGTGAATGATATGTTGATTGCAGGATCCAGCATGGAAGAGATTGACAAGCTAAAACAACAGTTGTCAAAACAATTTGAAATGAAGAATCTGGGAGCTGCTAAATAAATACTTGGCATGAGAATCATCAGAGATAAAGACAGAGACATACTAAAGCTTTCACAGACAGAGTATGTCAAGAAGGTTCTCAGCAAGTTTAGTATGGATAATGCTAAGCTAGTAAGTACACTTCTGGGGAATCATTTCAAGCTCAGTAGAGACCAGTCACCAAAAACTGAGCTAAAATATGGATACATGGATAAGATTCCATACGCCTCAGTTATCGGCTCTTTGATGTATGCTATAGTTTGTACTAGACCAAACATTGCCCATGCAGTGGGAGTTGTAAGCCGATATATGAGCAATCCTAGAAAGCAGCATTGGGAGGCAGTGAAATGGATCATGAGGTACTTAAAAGGTTCATCGGAAACATGTCTTACTTTTACAGTTGGTGATTTGAAACTTAAAGGTTTTGTAGATGCTGATCTAGCAGGAGATATTGATAGCAGAAAGAGTACTACAGTATATATATACACTCTAGGAGGCACTGCTGTTTCTTGGAGTTCTACCTTGCGAAAGATAGTCGCTCTTTTAACGACAGAAGCTGAATATGTTGCAGTCTCAAAATCTACAAAAGAGATAGTATGGCTACAGAGTTTCCTGAAAGAATTGGGCAAAATGAATGGAAAGGGCACTTTGTATAGCGACAATCAGAATGCAATCTTCCTTGCCAAGAATCCAGCATTTCACTCCAGAACTAAGCATATTCAGATCAAATATCACATCATCCGACAATTGCTAGATGATGAGCAATTGTTGCTAGAAAAGATTTGTGGAAGCAAAAATCCAGTTAACATGTTAACCAAAAAAGTTACTCTTAATAAATTGAAGCCGTGTAAAGCTTCAGTTGATCTTCAAAATTAAAAGACAGATCTAGTGCCATTTATGTCCAAGTAGGAGATTGTTATGTATGGACACAAATGGTTGTTGGCAGCCATGTGGTTGCATGGTAAAAGTCAATGGTGGGTGCCTAAACAAAGAAAACGGCAGCCACCATAATTGACTAAATGAAGAAGATTGTCTCCTATATTAGTTATAAAAAGAGGGTGCTATTGAGAGTTGATTATATAGACAAATAGAGAGAAACACAGAGAGAGCTAGAGTGAAAGTTGAGTTGAGTAGAGAAGTTTTTTTCTCCTCCTCCTTGTTTTGTTGTTTGTATTGTTTCTAAACTTGATTAATACAAACTAGTAGCTCTGTAGAGTAGACAAATTACCGAACCATGTAAATTGATGTGTGTTTGATTGCTTAAATGACCTAAAATCACCAACTTCAACCCTGTCACCAGAATCTGCTCAACAAGGTGCCATCAGTAATAGATTCACCCATGAAAGGGACAATTGCATCAACTAGATCTCCTACAAACCCACAATCAGGGGAAAAAAATTAACACCATTAAGAAGCATAAAATCTAAATAAAAATAAACAAAAATGAACATATAAATTACCAGCATATGAAGAAAATGATCTGCTCCTCAATGGAATAAAATATTCTGGTCGAAGTATTGCAGTAATTTCCCTGTATTAATTAGGAACTGAAACCAAATATAACCAATACACCAACAGGAATAGCACAGATATAAAAGAGTCAGTCAGCTCACTAACCTCCTCGGCTTATTCGAATATGCACGACAACATTGGCTCCCTAAAAGAAAAAAATATACGGAAATAAAGGGGCTTAGATGAAGTTATAAAAAGTTGTAAAATATCAAGCAAAGAACAGAAGCAAGTTGATAATAATAAAAAGAACAATATTACCTAAGGTAGTGCAATAACTAAAGCTGCCGACGGCATGCCTACACCCCTTACCATTGCTCAGAAGCTGTACAGATAGATTCTTCTACTTCATTACTTGCTTACGTATACAAATTACTAAATCTCCACATTTCTTACCCAACAATGTCCCAAATTCACTTGTAATTGGAAAATGAGGATTGATTATTCAAAGAAAGGCAGGCAGAGGTACCTCGTTTTGGCCGTAACCTCTCGCCCTCATCGCCGGATGCTTAATTCGCGAGACTGACTGAGACCGTTTACACTAAGGAGATTAGTTTAAAATAAAATTAAAGAATATAAAAAAATAGTGCAGTAATTAATAAGTACCGACGCGAGTTTGCGTCGAATAATTCCCCAGATCATTTCAACAACGACGCCTCAAACCAATCACTTTTATCTTTCTCTATGAAAATTAAAGAAATCAGCTAAAAATAAGTATAATCAGCAGAATGAAGAATGATTTTAATTTTGTTTTTTAAGCGTTACCTTGTGATAGGATTAGAGACAAAGACACAAATTAATCAATGAGAGCAGAAATACTATACAGAAGCTGCTGGGAGAGAGGAGGAGAAGAAGAATTAAAGGAGTGAAGTGAAGAAACGGAAAGAGGTTTTAAATTTGTATTTTAAAATATTTTTAAAAAATATATTAAAATAATATGTATATTTTATTTTTTAAAATTTATTTTTAATATTAAAATAATTAAAAATAATATTTTAATGGTAAACATCAGTTAAGATATTAATTTTTTTAAAATATTTTTATTTAAAAATATATCAAAATAATATTTTTTATTTTTTAAAAATAATTTTTAATGTTACCTTATCAAAATAATTTAAAAATATAAAAAAATAAAAATCTCATGAAACACCTTTTCCAACACGTTTCCAAATGAAAATTTGCCTTTCAATAACAGCCATCAAGTAAACGAGGGCATTTTGGTACAGTTAAGGACAGTTATAGCCTAATCAAATCGAATGTTTTGGAAGCCACCCAACGGCACTGACTGTCTACTTCAATATTAAAATATAGCATAAATAAAAGAAGAGAGGAGAGCAATCAATTTTGTGATAGGAGCACCTCAAGCAGCGTGGGTGTCGGTTAGAACTCCTTTATTTGTTTTTTTAGTTTTCTTTAGAATTATACTAGTATATTGATCAACACTTCGGGCAACGAGTCAATAATTTTTTTTAAATATTAAAAAAATATAGAAAATATTTTAAATTTATTACATTGAAGTATTTTGATTTCGGGTTAGACAATAATGTCAAATACAAGAATTCTAGATATAATAATTATATCAGATCTAAGAGATTTTGATCTGGAATCATGTCAGACCTGTACCTAGCTTTTATAATTATACTAAACCTAAAAGACTTTGGTCTGGAATCATGTTAGACTCGTGTTTAGTTTTGACAGCCATATCAAATCTTGGAGTCTTTGGGTCTAAGGTCATGCCAAACCCATGCCCGGGTTTGGCACCAAACATCATTGTCAGCACACGTTTGGGTCTCACACCAAACATAACTATCAAACCTAAGTAAACAATAAAGAAACAGATGATAATTATGCATTTTAGTTGTTAGAAAAGAATAAAAAAAAAAATACAAATAATTGATAATCGGTGACAATCCAACCATGATCTATCTAGAAATGTCGCACCATGTAAAAGAGGACATGTCTATGTATTTATTTAGACAGCGAGTGGCCAGATTTGGCCGCTAAGAAATTTCTTATGCACCTCTTTAATAGCTTAGACACCGCCTACTTGCTAGAACTTGTGGAACACACACTAACAACTTTTCAAATAAAAAATAAAAAAACCAATGAGAAAAAATGTTACAGCAATTGACAATATTTTGAGAGAAAAATTACAGTATTTTTTCTAATAAAATTAACAAAGATAATTTTAAAAAAATCATAAAAAACCTATTAGAAAAATATTGTAACAATCTACATTGTTTTATGAGGAAAACTACAACGTTTTCTCTATATGATTTAGTTTTATTGTAATTATA